CAGGCCACAGATTAGAGAAAAAAAACATACATCATATGGGGGGGGTGGGGGGGTGGAGGAGGAGGTCAAGGAAGAGAGGTTTTTTTTTAGAGCATAAACTTGATGCATACTTCACATTAGATACACAATGTTCACGTTTTGTCACTAAACAAATGAATTGGCTCACCGGCATTAATGAAAATACTATATAAAGGGAGAGAGAGACACACACACAGAGAGAAAGAGACACAGCTCGAGAAAGAGAGAGAGAGAAAGAGTCTGGGGATTGCTAACAGACTTTTTCCTTGATAACCAGCAAGTGAGAGAAGTAAATGAGAACAGGCCGGGGTGGGTGGAGAGGGAGGGGGAGGTGGGGCGGGCCACAGATTAGAGACAGAAAAAAAACCATCATGATGAGAGAAGAGGTTTTTCTTAGAGCATAAACTCGATACGTATCTCACATTCACATTGGATACAATGAGTGTCCTCCATTTCCACAATGCAGATCCCACAGGGATAAGCGACCGGTTTTTCCCCAGGTTCGGCATAGGGACTGTAAAACTACTAACCAGACACCTTCTGCTGGGGTACCGTTTTCATACAAGTTCAAATTGAGTGTGTAGAATCAAAGACAGTACATAACAAGATAGTTCACTTGGCCAAAAAAGTGTCCGCTGAAGTCCGCGCATTGGCTCAGATGTCGCTGCAGTCTTTGTTTTGAAGCTCTCTTTCATTTCTCGAGAAAAAGCACATAGGAATAGCACTCCCTCGTGTATCATCTGTTCCGGTTCGCTCAGTGCAGAGTTTTGGGTTTATTTTATAATTTAAATGACCTCCCGCCTATCGTTCTAAAGCCAAATTAAATCAAGAAAACAGTCATCCCTTCCACCTGAAGAGGATTTTTGTCAGCGTAACCATTTAAAAAGGCATTATTCCTAGATTTTAACTATTTATACAAAAACTTGTCAGTTTAACTTTCATTTTTTTCCACACAAGTAGGGTGACTCTGTTCGCAAAGCGGACGCTTTTTCGAAGAGGGCGCCACCGGATATTGAGGACACTGTTTTAATTAGTTTAAAGAGAGGAGTGAACCATCTTGTTACACAATCTTCGGTAGAATAGGCCAGAGGGTTTGGAGTAATGGTGAGGGTAAGCACCGTTACCCCAAACCCTCTATTCTACAATGTTTCATAGTGGTCGCTCGTTACATAATTTCTTCCATTAGTAACTTAAAGTGTGTATTATAAAGTATACATGATAGCCTACAGTTAATTCGGCCCATACTTTATGTTGATACGAGGGACGTCCAAAAAGTAAGTACAAACAATTTTCCCAATCAAAACCATTTGTTTTTGAATACTTCATATATTATGACTACTTCTCCCCACATATCACCAGAACTGTTGAGGCATTTGTCGTAGCATGGGATGAGCTTCTGAATGCCCGCATCGTAGTTCTAGAAAGCTGCTGCCTGCGATGTCAGCCAACGTCCAGTCTCTCTGAGAGATCAGCACCTGAGTTGAAGTCCCGCCCGGACAAAAACTTTTTCAAATGCAGGAACAGATCTATGAAAGTCACTCGGAGCTAGGTCTGGGCTGTACCATGGGTGCTTCAACTGCATGGTTCCCATTCGAAGGAGGCGATCAGGTTTTGGGTCTGTGCAGACTTGTGAGGAGTTCCATTGACGTGAAGCAGAACACGCCGTCGGGCGTGAAGCAGAACACACCGTCGCTAAGCATTCCTCGTGTTTTGTTTTGGATCGCTCTACGCAGTTTTTTAAGTGTGTTGCAGTACATATCAGAGTTAATTGTCATCCCATTTCCCCAAAATTCTCCTAAAAGAACTCCTTGCCTGTCCCAAAACACTGTAGGCCTACACATAACTTTTTTTCCTGACGTGGCCTGCGTAGAGTAATTCACCAAAGACGCGGAATGCTTAGCAACGGCCTTGTTCTGCTTCACGAAAATGCAACTCCTCACAAGTCTGCAGAGACCCAAAACATGATCGCCTCCTTAGGATGGGAACAGTAGCACCCATCATACAGCCCAGACCTGGCTCCGAGTGACTTTCATCTGTTCCTGCATTTAAAAAAGTTTCTGGCCGCGCAGGACTTCAACTCACACACTGATCTCACAGGAGAGACTGGACATTGGCTGACATCGCAGGCAGCAGCTTTCCACAATGAGGGCATTCAGAAGCTCTTCCCACGCTACGCCAAAAATGTCTCAACAATTCTGGTGACTATGTGGAACAGTAGTCTATAGAATTAAAATGAAGTATTCAAAAATAAATCGTTTTGATAAGGAAAATTATTTCTTTTATAATTATTTTACAACGGTACTTACTTTCTGGACGCCCCTCGTATATTTATAGGCTAAGCTAACTAACTACGAAGTGGCTAGCCGTACTTAAGTACGGCTAGACTGGCAGTCTAGCCGTACTTAGATCTAGGTTTGGCCCTATCGACTCAAGCCTGTTAAGTAGACAGGTCTCAGATCTAGATCTAGTAATTATTCAGGTTCAAATACATGCAAGTCAGTAAGGCACCTTTTGGTTTTGTCTGAAATACAAATACTTTAGGCATTGCAAGCTAAAAATTTTATTTACAATTCAGCCATCAATATTAAGTACGGCTAGACTGACAGTCTAGCCGTCCTTAAGTACGGCTAGCCTGGCTGTCTACCCGTACTTAAGTACGGCAAGACAAGAAGTCTAGCCGTACTTATCTTAGGCCCTATTAACATTAGAAAACAGGAGGTTTAAAATACATGCACTGTCAATACTTAATAAGGCACCTGGTTTCGTCTCAAATACAAATACTTTAGGTACTGCACACTAAAAATGTATATTTACAATTCAGTAGGCCTATTTTTTGTAAATGGTGAGTCTAGCCATCATATTAAGAATAAGTACGGCTAGACTGCGAGTCTAGCCGTCATTAAGTACGGCTAGCCTCTTCCAACTAACTACTAAGGCACTGAATAAGGCACAAAAGTGTCGAAAACCTACCTCCTGTCTGAAGAATAAGTGTGTCTTTAATAGGCTTTGACATGATGATTTGACTGAAGAAACCGATGCATTTAAAAAAAACAGAGGGATCAAACTTTTTTTTCTTTGTAGTGTCTTGAAGAGGCTCAAAGTAAAAGCTTCCCTTTCCAATTCTCCGTCCTTATCATTAGTCATTAGTCACTGCGACTGCGATAAAAAACAAAAACAATAACAAACCAAGCCCCTCAACAGAAACGAACGATGCGTTATGTGGGTATAGTAGATCTCGCGGCCAGCAGTACAAAATTAACAAAGAACAACAACTAGACTCTTTTGTGGGAAAAGGGAGAAAAATGTGTTTTTTTAATGGTTTTTTATTTTATTTTATTGACAACAGACAAGGGCATTAGGCAATTAAAATTTGCCATTTAGTGCTAAAAATGATATCCATATCATGCCTACAATATGATTAAAAAAAAGATAAATGGAAGTACATTCTGTAACGATAAGTTCATGGTTGATGATCTTTCTCAGCATTTCGTAAAAGATTACCGAATTTTGCAAACAAGGGTCTCTATTCTATGACGTTGTTTTGCATCGTAGTATCTATCCCCAGACAAGGAAACATTGTTTTTATTTTCGCTGGTTTTTTAATTTAAATTGCCATATATTGTTTTCTGCTAGCCCAGCTGTTTTTTTCCTAGTTACACAAATGTTGTTTGCCTTTTATCTCTTAATTAGTTTGAGTGTGCAGTTTACAAGTACAAAAAGCTGAATCAAATTTCTTTCCCTCAGGTTAGATCTACATCTAACAGTTTTTGGTGGTGGTCGTTTATGTTGTTTATTTGATGAAATGAAGACAACGAATCATGTCATTATTTTGTCCTCTGTACTCTGCACACGCTTATTAATTCAATTTTTTAGATAGTGTGGTGCCACCAAGCTGAATAATCATATTACATGTATTATATGTACCTTTAATATTATGATTTTGATCATTTCTTGACGAAACGGCTGGTTTTAATTTATTTTTGGCGGGTTTAGTGGCCATTATCTTGGGAAGAAAAACTGTAAACACAGGAGCACGGACATTAGGTCTCTAAAACGCGAAACAGAGGGGAACACACAAGTAGATCTACTACAAGAAAGCCTTCGGGGGGCACTGGGCACCAACTACACTACTGCAAAAAGAAAGGTACATAGATCTACACTTTGGTATAGATCTAACCTATCGAGTTATGTCAGCGCTGTTGGAACTGAATAAACACTGCCTTGCCTTGTAAAAATTTTGCCAAAATTTTTGGGTCAAGTTCTGCTGTTGATGATGATG